CTCTTAGCTCCTGTCGGCCTCTGTCTACTGCCTGTTAATTCTTTGAGCTAGACTGGTCTGTTATTAGTTTAGCTTCGTGATGAGAGATCCGGACCATGTTACTTCGATTATTCCGGCTGAATAGACGCTTCGTCGGATCTCGGCTATCTTCAGGAAACGTTCGACGACTTCTAGGCAAGATCACGCTAGGCTTATAGCAGGATTTCTCAGAATCGTTCTCGATAAGATTCTCACACACGAGCCCACTTTCTCGCTAGTTAACTCGCCAAAATTGTGAAAGTTCCGAGAAATTGTCGACATGTTCGATCGCGTTCAACAAACCGCCCCCCCCCCCCCCCCCCCCATCGTGTCAAGCTGGGCGAATTGATTTGTTCCTGTAGCCGCGTCAAACGGTGTTAGTTGCCAGTTTCGCGCAAACTGTCTGTTTCCTGAGACGGTGTGTTCCTTATCACGTATCAGATATGGCGCTTCTATATCGCCTCGTGAGTCTAGTGAGAGAATCCGTAACGCCCTGATGTTGACTGATGACCGTCCGTCGTGTAGTGTAAGGCAGCGATCTGCAATAAAAATAACCATGTACATCGCAAATAGTTAACTGCACGCGTGGCCAGTATTTCTGCGATGCATACAAACGAGTGCAATCCCTAACTGAGCCGCACATAGCATGCAGATAAGCGTATTTAATTAAATTATAGGCAAATCACATTGATTTGTACGAGGGTAAATTGAATAAATCAAATACGTACTAAGCGCTATTATCGCACCTCGTGAATCACAATGGCGTTCGTAATCTGCGTACCTGAATACTAAGATATTTGTAGGTTTATTGCGGCTCGCAGTGCTGGACGGGCATAGCGTCACGCACGCCAGGCACGACGCCCTTTCATCCGAGGAGACAATATGTCAGCTTCGTAATATCGTGCGTGCTTATGAATACGTATGACGACCCTATCTGCTATGGCCGGTTGCGGTTAACCATGGACTTTCTGTACTGGCCGGGTAAGCGTATTGGAGCATGGCGGCTTGGTAACTAAATTAGCTGAGTGGATATCGCAAGCAGGAGCGGTGTACGCGAGTCAGGGTGAATATATAACTTATTATATTTATTTTAGTTAGTTATTTTCACTAGCCCTACTGTTTTCATTTTACTGAAGGGCAAAAGTAAACAAGTATCGTATGAATTATAAACATTTTAGAAACCAAAGCAAAGGCAAACGTCGGCATTACTAAGATATAAATTGTGGTTGTGCGTAATGTTACACGTAATAGGGCATAACAGTTCCCAACAGGGATGTTTTAAAATTGAAAAGCTTGGCAAGCTCATTATAAAACCACGTTTGAAATAGGTCCACGGGCTGCAGTCAGTCATTTTATCCACGAACATTTCCACCAGCAGATGGCAGCACACTTACTGGTAATTGTCAAACGTGCCCGAATCAAACTCTAACTGTGACATGGTATTAGGGTGTATGAAAATTCGATTGCGTAATGTATAAAGTCGGCTTTAACATAATCCCATCGTCCGGGAGATATGAAAGAGCCGTTTGCTAAGCTACAACTATGACGCTCCTGTTTTTTGTATATTTGACTCATGTAATAACAGCCTGTCTCAGCAAGTACGCAAAATGCAAATATTTAACAAAACATCGTGAAACTGGAAAACATCACAGAAATTATCTAACACAGCTGAATCAGAGCCGCTAACTCCGAACATCGCTGAAGTTGCTCCTTTCTTTCTAGATTGCGCGGATTTGACGTAAGCAATAAAATTCGACACTAAGGGATCAGCTAAGAGCCCCGAAGATGGGCGTTCGGCGAATGATCAGCGAGGCCCGCCATGTGGGGCGCTGCGAAATCAGACGCGCTCCGACAACTTTTGAGGCCCAGGCGGAGCGAGCGAAAAATGCAGGGGGACATCACACACAGCCAACATGTGTTGGCATTCGTGTGAGAGTAGGCGGAGTGACGGTAACTAATCGAAAAATGTAGCAGGTATTATGCCAGTAACGATAACTGTTTCGTCGCTACTAAATGCCATTGGATAATATCGACCGGAATATCATAATCTGGAAAACTGGCAGCACAGGCTGTAAGTCCTATTTGTTAGACAACCGTGTAACAGTGAATAATCGACATTCCAAACCGTGGGGCAAATGTACAATGTACTTGCCCAGTTACTTTGCCTTGGCTTTGAGGCGGCTATAAGTAACAGTAGTAAGTTCCACCGTTCAGACTGTTTTCAGTTTTACTCGCGACACATTTTTTCTGAACTAAAAGTAAAACATGATGCTGGCGGTTTGTGGATGATAGTGATGTAGTGTGTTAGCGACGTCGGATTTCCCTCCCCCTCCCTCTTCCCACTGACGGCCGAGCATTCGCGCAGCGTTTGAGATCCCCTTCGACACACTAACGCGGTGGTTTGCGGCGCGAACTCGCTCTATATTTTGACTGTGTTTAAGTTGTTTCCATTCCTTCGACGAGATTGCCTTGTGAACGCTGGCACGCGCGTGTCAGCGATTCCTCCACCACCACGACCACCGCCAGTCAGACACCGCGGCGGGTTTAGTTGGCAACAGTTTTGCGAAACCGCGTTTCGAAATGACCTCTTCAAGGCTCACGTCTCACTTTATTCCGTCAGTGTTTTTTGTTTGCGTTGAGGTCGCGAATAATTTCTTTCTTCGGTCAAATCCCCACAAACACGGCCGTAGTCGCAAGTAAGCGTTGGCACAGTTTATACGAGCGAGCGCTGGTGCAGTTACTGTAGTCGCCCATAGAAAAAATAACGTAATGGGCCTTGTCGTACAATTTTATGGTACGCGGACTTGCTTTAGATGTGACTCGGTATACTTACAATAACGTCTCTTTCCCACATTATTAATATTTTGGTCTATCTGTATCTATTCTATATCTATAGATCTATCTATATATATATATATATAGTATAATATATATATATATATTCTATTATATATCTATTCAGTATTGTAAATCTATAAATATTTTAATATTTACATCCACTCTATCCCATATCTTTAAACAACTATATCTATTATATAACTATTATTTATCAATAGATATATACATTCCATTCTATCCCATATATTCAGGATAGAATAGCTATATCACTGTATCTCTCAGTATTCGTTCAATATATATCTATTCTACGTGTATCCTATATCTATGCCGATATATAACTAATATCAGGGGTAGATAATGACAAATTTTGTCATTAAATAAAATAATAATTGTCATCAAATATGTCTAATATCTCTCTATGTATTATCTAATATCTCTCTATCTATTATCTAATATCTTATCTATTAAACATCTGTACTGCCTAATAATAATATCTATCTATCATCTACATAATAATATATACGTATCATCCCCATCGTCTGTAGGCGAACCTGCACGCGCCTGAGATAGCCGGCCAGCATCTACCTGCGATCTTCGAACACAGCAGCGAGGGTCTCATCTACGCCATCGTGCGCGTGACGGACGCAGACGAGGGACAGCACGGCGAGATCGCCTCCCTGGAGATCATCAACGGTGACCCGGACAGGTGTGTGCGTGCGTGCGTGCGTGCGTGCGCGCTTCGGCTAGCTCCCACATAGCTCTGTGTGTGGTGTGTGTGTGTGTGTGCGTAGTAATTCAGCTCTACTCCTGTCGCCTCTGTTCTACTCCTGTTAATTCTTTGAGTAGACTGGTCTTGTTAGTTCTAGCTCGTGATGAGAGATCCGGACCATGTACCTTCGATTATTCCGCTGAATAAGACGTTCGTCGGCACTCGGTCATCTTCGGAAAACGTTCGGAATTCTAGGCAAGATCACACGGCTTTAGCTAATATCGGATTTCTCAGAATCGTTCTCATAAGATTCCTCACACCACACTTCTCGGTAGTTACTCGCCAAAAATTGCGAAAGTTCAGAGAATGTCGACTGTTCGATCGCGTTCACAATCGTGTCAAGCTGCGAATTGATTTGTTCTTACACGCGTCAACGTTTAGTTGCCAGTTTCCGCAAACTGGTCTGTTTCTGAGAGGTGTGTTCCTTATCACGTATCAGAATGGCGCTTGCTAATCCCTCGTGAGTCTGTGAGAAATCGTAACGCCCTGAGTGTTGACTGATGACCGTCCGTGTGTAGTGTAGCAGCGATCTGCAATAAATATATCATGTACATCGGCAAATAGTTACTCACGCGTGGGCCAGTATTTCTCGATGCATACAAACGAGTCATTCCCAACGAGCGCACTAGCATGCTGATAAGCGTATTAATAAATTATAGCAAATCACAATTGATTTTGTACGAGGGTAAATTGAATAAATAAAATACGTACTAACCTATTATCGCTACCTCGTGATCACATGCGTTCGAAATCCTGCGTACCGAATACTAAGATATTTATAGGTTTATCCGCTCACACGGGCAAACGTACACGCACGCACGACCCGTTTCTCCGAGGAGACAATATGTCAGCTTCGTATTATGTGCGTGCTTATGAATACGTATGTACGCCTATCTGCTATGGCCGTTGCGATTAACGTGGACTTTGTACTGCCGGGTAGCGTATTGGGGCTGGGCGGCTTGGTAACTAATTACTGAGTGGATATCGCAAGCGGGAGCGTGGTGTACGCGAGTCAGGGTGGAATATATACTTATTTATTTATTTAGTTAGTTATTTTCACACCTCTGTTTTCAATTTTACAAGCAAAAGTAAACAATATCGTATGAATTATAAACATTTTAGAAACAAACAAAGGCAAACGTCGCATTATAAGATATAAATTGTGTTGTGCGTATGTTACACGTAATAGGCATAAACAGTTCCCAACAGGGATGTTTTAAATGAAAGCTTTGCAAGCTATTATAAAAACCACGTTTGAAATAGGTCCACGGCTGCAGTAGTCATTTTATCCACGACATTTCCACCACAGATGGCAGCACACTATTGGGTAGATTTGTCAAACCTCCGATCAAACTCTATGTGCATGGTATTGGGTGTATGAAAATTCGATTCGGTATTATATCGCTTTACTATCCCATCGTCGGGAGATATGAAGATGACGTTTGCTAAGCTACACTATGAACCCCTCCTGTTTTTTGTATATTTGACTCTGTATAACAGCTGTCCAGCAGTACCAAAATGCAATATTTAACAAAAACATCGTGAAACTGGAAAACATCACAGAACTTATCTACACAGCTAAACAGAGCCCTAACTCCCGGAATCACTGAATTCTCCTTTCCTTTTAGATGCGCGGATTTGACGTAAGCAATAAAATCACAATAAAGGGTCGCTAGACCCGAAGATGGCGTTCGGCGAATGATCAGCGAGGCGCCGCCATGTGGTGGCGCTGCGATCGACGCGCCTCCGACAACTTTTGAGCCCGCGAGCGAGCGATGCACACACACACAACATTGTTGGCATTCGTGTGAGAAGTAGGCGGAGTGACGGAACTACGAAATGTAGCAGTATTAGTGCCAGTAACTAACTGTTTCGTCACTACTAAATGCCATTGGATAATATCGACCGGAATATCATAATCTGGAAAAGCTGCAGCCACACTGTAAGTCTATTTTGTTAGAAACTTACAGTGAAATAATCGACATTCCAACCGTGCAATGTACATGTACTTCCCAGTTACTTTGCCTTGGCTTTAGCGGCTATAAGTAAAGTAGTAAGTTCACCGTTCAGCTGTTTTCGGTTTACTCGGCGACACATTTTTCTGAAACTAAAAGTAAAACATGATGTGCGGTTGTGGATGATAGTGATGTAGTTGTTACGTCGGATTCGTGCACGTGTTTCACTTTCGTAGGTACTCGTACTCGTAGTGACCGTAGCGTATTTCCTACTCGGGAGCCAAACCTGCCACTAACTACCACTACCAGCACTAGTGTCGCGGTACTAGATAACCCTACAGCGCCAGTGGGTCACACTCACTCACTATACTATCGTCGAGCAGTATAATTTTATGTGCTGTAGGTTATTTACTTAGTTTTGGAACAAGTGGTCTGTTATAGTGCAGTGCACACTCGTAGTCGATCGAGAGTACTCAACTTGCCGTAGTCTGTACCGTAGATACAATAATGTAAACCAACAGATATATAATACAGGGTAACCAACGCTCATAGGGTCTATGTCCCCCTGGGTACTGCCGGAAAGTACCCTGGTAACTATTTGATATATGGTTAGGGTTAGGGAGTAGACGTAGGCGACTCCTCAGACTCGTTAGTGGAGTAGGCGAGGTACGGTCCGGCATATTAGATAGTATACCAGGGTACCGGACCGTACGTACCGTACCCAGGGTACGTTCCGGCAGTACCCTGGGGGATATAGACCCTCTCAGCGTAACCAACAGAGTACTAGGTTGGGTTAGATTCCCTACTCTGTTTGGTTACGTAACCAACGTTATTATATATTAGTCTATCTGTACTGTAGTCTGGAGTGTAACACTATAGCAGCACCACTGGAGTGCTGGTTTTGCTCACCACCTTGAACATGGCCCATATCATGGGTCAGGAAAAACCCCCCACACAGAACCTGTGCTGTACTCCAAGTGTAGCTGTATGATCATGGGTGTAGCTCTTCTTTCCCGCTACTGGAGTGGGAGCGAAGAGCTACACTCATGATCATACACATGCAGCTACTCCTGCACTCCTGTAGCGGGAGCGAAGGGCAACACGGTTAGAGCTAGTCTAAGTGTAAACCTAACCCCAAACTCTTCACTGTTTGAATACACATAAAGTTGAGTTTGTGGCGAATTGGTTATACATGTGCATGGCATTACTCTCCTTAGATCAGTAGCTGTCACGTATGCTCTACCAGTGCAGCCCCTTCGCTCCCGCCACAGGGGGTAATGTGGCCCCCCCCTGTAGCGGGAGTGAAGGGGCTACACCCGTAGAGCTAATGTATGCCTAGCTTAGCTCTAGTACTACTACTATAGCCCTTGTTGCCACAGGCAATAGGCCACAGGCTATAGCCCATGCGGCAACAAGGGCTATAGTATTAGAGATAGGCCTAGCTGGGCAAGTAGCTATAGGCAAGTGGTTATTCAGTTCACTTGCTGGGTAACTCACTTTATGAATGATGTCGTTGGCACACAGATTGTGTAAACCGCAAACCTCGTGTAACTCATTTACAGAGATAGATTCGATTAGTTAGCTGTGTTTATCCTGTCTCCTCGCTGAGAAATTACTCTGTCATCTAATGATAATCACAAGTTAGATTTAATTATGAAAGCTTGTTAGTTACTTATCTTCAATATCTTCACTTGTGAATTTTATTTCATTCAGGGAGTGCTATTATTGGTACATGTACTATTCTTACAATACAATCGAGTTCGTGCAGATAATTAGAAATGTGCACAAATTTGCATTTTTTCTTTATATTGTTAATCAATACGGAGCCACAAATTACACGAATTGTATGAATTCAATGCAGCATGATAAATCGAAATCAGAACAGCTTTTGCTACTAGTGCAGTGAAATCTGTATGAAAGGGTTGCTCGAGGCCCCCGAGGGAAACAATGAATGTGTGTAATTATAGGCAGGTGTGTGTTGTATAGAGGAAGCATCTCTGCAGTTCTGCCAGTCAAAGAGAAACCGCAAACGTGTCCTTTATAGGCTATAGGTGTCCGTTCTATAGAGGTGGGCCTCGCCGTATGAGAGCCACATGAAGGGAAATACCAAAAGTGTCCTTTATAGACAGGGTGTCCTTTCTATAAAGGTGACTTCTAACACTGGCCTGACTGTATTCAGTGCGTGTGACGGTTAACTCTC